ACTTCATTGCTTCGTCCCAGTGTTAGAACAACATTGAACAGGCTGGGTTCAATAGAGCCTCAGGCAGGAGAGGAGACCTCATGGGTCTCTTAGCTCAGAAGATAAAGGTGGTTGTAGGCCAAGCTCTGTGGATGTCAGGGACTAGGCATCCTTGGGCAGGACTTTTGCCTCTGTCCCAAAAGGCCATAAGGGCATCTATTCTTTAAAAAAAAAAAAAAAGGGATTCTTCCATGTAGAAAAAAAAAGGTCTCCATCAGCTAGCTTTTCCTTCACTCCTTAGCTTAGCTTCACTCCTTTTCCCTACATTTCACAGACAGCAATTCCAAGGAAGGCCATTCTTCATGGGTCCTCATCTAAAACCAGTTCCCACCACAGCAATACAGTTTGCTAATGAGAGGGAATTGATCATGAGTTCTGCCTACCAAAAAAGAAAAGAAGATATTGGCAGATAAAATAGAGCCCACAACACCCTTCCTGCTATCCGGAGAGCCCTTAAATCCCTGTCCGTAAAGAAGCCTGCTTCTAGTTCAAGACCTAAGTCATTCTACACACGGTCACCCACGCCTGCTCCCAGGAAGAAGGACACGCTGTTTGGTCCACTTTAGCATCTTATCCACACCTTTGCTTGCTTTTTGTTTTTAACTTGATGTATATTTGTTGTACATCTATACACACACATCTTTCCCACATTAGGTGTGAGAATCTTAAGAGGTCACAGGCGTTTCTTCAAAAAGACATCTGTACAAGTATATGTGTATTTTGACTACAAACACTCCCTCCTCTTATTCCTCCTTCCTGTTAATCACATTCGTTTTCCCCAAGCCAGACAACCTTGACTCTCCTTTCCCATGTCTCTTGATTCTATGTATCCATATAGAATCTATGATCCCCAAATTAAAGAAAACAAGTGGTTGATATTTGTCCTGAGTCTGACTTATTTTGTTTAACGTAATGATTTCTGGTTGTATTCGTGTTCCTGCAAATGACCTAATTTTGTTTCTTATTTATGGCTGAATAAAACTCCATTTCTGTGCTCATTCATCTGTTGATAGACACCTGGGCTGACTCCATAACTTGGCTATTGTGAATAAGGCCAACACAATTATTGTGTGAACACAAATGTGTTTGACATTCATGTAGTGTCTCCTTCATACGTATGGCACCAGATTGCTCCCGGGCTGTCAGTTCTATAAAAGCAGGGATCATGTCCCCATCATCTTAGAATCTTCAGCCTCTGCTGTAGTGCTTGGAAATATCCAGGGACCAGAGGCTTGGATGTTTGGAAGACATGAATGATGTGATCACCTTCTGGCTGGACAGAGAAACCAGAGTGCCGGGTTCAAGGGAAGCAGCTACCTGCTACCGGACACTAATCTGTATATTCCTGGAGCTCTGTCAGGGAGGAGCCTGTGTATTCTGTGTAGCCGTGACCATGCCTATAGACTGTACCACATGCCTAGCCAGCCCTGGTACCTTACATGTGGCACGTACTACCCTTCATCACTGGATGTGAGCCTCTTAAGAGGTCACAGGAGGTCAACGTGACTTCCGTGGGGCTGAAGTTTTCTTGTTGGGACCGATATTCCTCCATAAATACTGAACCTGTGTCACTGTAAGGCAGCCCATAGTTACCAGGGCCACATACTATTGCCGGGACACCCTGACCATCAGAATTCATTGCTTCCCTGTGACCACAAGGAAGGGACCCCCTCCCCTTCACATTGGCCATTCCTCCTCATGTTTACTGTCTTTTCATCCCTTCCTGTGCACATCCTCATTAACGCCCTCTTCTGGCCTCTGGGAGCAAAGTATCCACATGCACAACTTGTCTCATCCTGTTCCCCACAGACACATAATTGAAAATAAAAATGAAATCTTAAAAGCACTATTCTGTCCTTGGAAGCTGGCCTGGACACTCTCTTCCTAAACAGTGAGGCTTTGGCTGTATTTTCTTGGTTTGTGTCCCTGTTATAAATTCTTCACACCTCTAAAGAAGCTAAGAAGATGGCCAGCATGAGACCTCTGACTGCTTCCTCAAGGCGACCTTACCCCTGGCAAGACACCGAGTTCACCACCAGTGTTGTCTACAATGGAGACCACCCTGTCAGGAAGGGATTCTGTCCAACTGCCTGGACCCTCTAAGCAGCAAAACACAGAGAGAAAGCAAGAGGCAATAGCAGATAAACTAGTCGAGAGGAAGTATGAGTCAAACACCTTTATGTGCCTTTTAAAAAGAAGCACCTAGTAAAACTATTGCCACACTTGATAGGGGAAAGGCAGTATCCTTAATACAGAGGCCTTAAGGGGGAGCAAAAGGGAGAGACACGGTTTTTAAGAGAGAGATGTGAGCAGTCATATAAAAATGACAAAGCAAATGATTAATTTTAAAAAAAAATCAGGGCGGCCGTGGCACATGCCTTTAATCCCAGCACTCGGGAGGCAGAGCCAGGTGGATCTCTGTGAGTTCAAGACCATTCTAGTCTACAGAGCAAGATCCAGGACAGGCACCAAAACTACACAGAGAATCCCTGTCCAAACAAAAATCAAAGTCCAACAACAGAGAGATGGGGATTTTTAGAGGATGTCACTCATCAAATTTAAACACTTGTAACTGTAATATTGCAAGACCTGGTGGCTACAGGCCTGTAACCCCAGCTACTTGGGAGATTAAGGCAAAAAGACAAGTTCAAGGCAAGCCTAGGCTACAGAGGGAGTTCAAGACTAGCCTGAGCAACTTAATGAGACCATGTCTCAAAAAAAATAAATAAATAAAATGAATGGGCTATAGCTCAGTAGAGCACGCAAAAGGTCCTGGCTTAGACCCAAGCCCTGCAAATAACAACACAAAGAAAATCAAAACAAAGCACCTGTGGGGCTGGCAAAGATGTCATGAGATGGGAATTGGAGAAACGAACCTTGAACGCGGTTGGGGGGGGGGTGTCCTTTAGGGCAATCTGAGGGAATTACCAAAGGAGGAAAACGGAGTGCAGGTCCCTGAATGTGATTCCCAGCAATGATGAAGGGTGGGAAGAAAAGGGGACAGAGGAAAAGGAGGAGGAAGAGAGGGAAGAGGAAAGGAGAGGAGATGGAGAGAAAGGAGCTGTCGAGGGGGAAAGGAGGGAAAAGCAGAGGAAAGGGGAGGGGGAAGAAAGCAAAAGGAAAGAAATTCATTTTTAAAGGTATTTTGGTCATCGAGGAACCATCCATGTCATTGCATTGTGTAGAAAATTCCAGAATCATCACTGATAGAAAGCATGAAATCAATTATGTGTATGAATGCATGCTGTACATAGTAAAATACATAGTTGGATCAAAATGTGTACATAAAGATTGTTAGGAATTTTCTCTGCAGTTTGTAAGATCTCCAGCAATTTGTTTGCTGATTTTTACATTCCATGGGTTTTTTGGTAAATCATATAAAAGTAGAAAATGGTTCTCTTACAATTGCTTCTGATTGCCATCAAATTCTTCCTTCATTCTTCTAGCTCAGTTGCTCTTATTCTAAGACTATTTTTTATGTGTGTTTGTATTTTGCCTGCATGTATGTCTGTGTGAGGGTGTCAGATTTCCCTGGAACTGGAGTTACAGACAGTTGTGAGCTGCTGCGTGGTGCTGGGAATTGAACCCAAGTCCTCTGGAAGAGCAGCCAGTGCTCTAAACCGCTAAGCCATCTCTCCAGCCCTCCAAGATTCTAACTTTCACTTTCTTACTCTAAGGCTGACCATTCCTATAAACACATTGTGAGTCAGACTCCTGAAGACATACCACAGTCTGGTTTAAGTGGCCTGTGGAGACGAGTTAGCACTTAGCAGAGAAGACCTTGCATTTGTTTTGACAGGAGGGAGAGGGTGATGTTCACAGGCATCTCCACCACACCTACCCTTCACATACTTTTCCTGGAGGTGTCAGACACTGGGGTATCTGTTGAGAACCAAGGTCAACATGACCTGAGACACATCATTCTTTTTGTCTATCCTCGGGAGGAGCAAGTCCTTCCCTCTGAGAGTTATTTTAGCTTATATTTGAATTATTTTAAAGAGACTGTTTTTGTGAAGTTAAGGATATGACTCCAGAGGAGACAGACAGATCAATGGCGCCATGTTGAGTGTCCACCCTCTGCCCACTGTGAGGTTGGGTTTCTCATGTGTCTTAGAAGTAAGGAGCACAGAAATAAGTTGGCCTTTGACAGTGTAAATAAAACACTGTAAATCTGTCAGGAGCCAGGGTGTGGGGTAAAAAGCATAAGGGCTTAAACCAATGACAGAGTTCAAAGGCAGTGCTCCTGCTCACCAGCTTTGTGGTTTGACGAAGTTAATTTCTCAGAGTTTCAAATCTTGCCAGCTGTAAAATGGGGGCGGGGGTTGGGGAGCACATTCCAACCCTCCCCCAACTCTGTTGGGAAGCATTCATCAGAACCCTGGCTCCAGGGGGCCAAGAAAAGAACCTGTGTGCAGTTGGTCTTGACCACTTTCTAGGGTTGCTACTGAGAAGGCACAAGGCCAGTTTGATGGGAAATCTACAAGGAAGAAGCCCAGCTACCAGACGGTTGACAGCTATACACACAACCCTGGTACTTACCTGCAGCATGTCACTTTAAGCAATTATGTATCTTCCTGAGTGTTAGGATGTACCAATGAGAAACGGGAGCTGGTAGCATCCAATACCCAAGGGAATGCATGTGTTCTGTAAGTTGCTCAGAACCTAGCAAAAAGTTACTCCACTGTTCAGTTATTTGACACGTTTTTCCTTGTTGTAAATAAGATAGAAATCTAGGGAACAGCCTAAAATCCAAACACAAGAAAGTGTCTGTTCTTTTAAATTCATCTGTTTTGTAGTTGGGTAGCCGTGAGTTGCGCCTGGCCCTCTCCATCCTCCCCCCTACCCTGCCCTCTCAGCTGAGAGCTCCTGTGGCTAGCCACCACATGGAGTCAGGGCTGTAACCAGCAAGCCTTGGTTATACTACCATGTGGTAATGCAGCTGTTGCTCCCTCTCTTGGCAGGTCCTTCAAACCGGACTTTATCCTGGTCCGACAGCATGCCTACAGCATGGCCCTGGCTGAGGACTACCGCAGCCTGGTCATCGGCCTTCAGTATGGAGGGCTTCCTGCTGTCAACTCTCTCTACTCTGTGTACAACTTCTGCAGCAAGCCCTGGGTGGTAGGTGACAGAAGGCCCACATGGAGGGAACTGGGAAGTGTGAGGTGGTCTCCCAGCCTATAAATGGCTCCATTCACCATCCAGAGCCACAGCAAGGAGAAGAACCTTATTGAAGCAACCAAGCAAGCAACTTGACCCTGGGTCTCTTCTGGGAATTGCAGCCTGGAAAATATTATGTATAACACATTATGATGCAGGATCGTGTTATAGTAATAGTAGTCTTGCTGGGAATATAGTTCAGTTGGTAGCATGCTGGGCTCAATTTCCAGACTGTATAAACCAGATGTGGTGGTGCACTTATAATCCCAGCCCTAAGGAGATGGAGGCAGGAGGATCAGACAAGGTCATCCTTGGCTATGTAGTTAGGGGTTCTAGTCCACCCCAGGCTATGGGAGACCCTGACTCAAACAGACAGACAAACATATCTCGTTATTTTTAACATCCTAGTAGAATTTTCTTACTGTTGCTCTTCAAAGTTATGAAACACTTACTGAATACCAGAAAATTGCTACAGGTACTCATGCTATCATGCAGTTGAGATCGCATCATTCCTCTGTCCTACAGAGGAGAAGGCTTAACTTCAGAAGTCTCTGGAATCTTAGGGCTAGTGGATGGGGAAGCCCTTTCTCCAGCCCTCGCCTTTGCTTCCTCCCCATTGATTCACTCGTCTCGAACATTCCATTGGGTTACTCAAGTTCCCATTCAAATGTTACACAAAAGCAAAGGACTTTACCCAAATAGCAGCCCTCCTCTCTTCTAGTGCCCCACACATGGGTCTGCACCCCAATGACACCATTCCTTTATACATCATTTCTCTCCCTTATACAAGCAATGCAGCCTATACACACATAGTAATGGCACCAGAGTACCTGCCCTTAGCCTACCATTCTGGTGAGACAGTCTGTTAACAAATATGACCACTGTGTCATCTGCCCTATGGTATGTACCTCGGGGGAAAACAAAGGAAGCTCAGAGGTGTGGAGAAAATACCATGAAACGTCTCAGCTCTCTGGTCACCCTTTTTGGCTGCCTGTCTGTCATCACCTGGGAGTGAAGAACGCTGATTAGAGTCTGGCACAGGAGCTAGATTGACCAAGGCCAAGTTTCTCCACTTATGTGTACTCTCGAGCAGTTGCATTAGCCTCTCAGAACTTGGTGTCCTTATTTAGAAAAGGGTGATAATAATAGGGTTTTTCTGGTTTCCAGGGAGGACATGTAAAGTGTGTGTAATGGTGGCTGGTACACAGCATATCCTCTATAAATGGTGGCAACAATTCCTGCCTCTTACACATGGACTAAGTCTAGGCTGGTGGTTCTGAGTATTTGTTGAATGACTACTTAGGTTAATTTAATAGGTATGGATAGTCTTGGCTGCTGCCTTCCTGGCTGTGGTTTCTTTATGTCATAACTAAGAGTTTTGACTCATGGAATCTAAGATTTGGATGCCTGAGAAGGAAACAGGCCATAGTTTTGACAGTAGCAACTTTATTAGCACTCACTATGTCAAGTGCTCAGCCCCAAGACCCACTGTACAAAAAAGGAAACTGGCCGGGTGGTGGTGGAGCACGCCTTTAATCCCAGCACTCAGGAGGCAGAGCTGGGCGGATCTCTGTGAGTTCGAGGCCAGCCTGGTCTACAGAGCAAAACTGAAGCCCACAGAGCCGGCAGTAAGTGCTGTAGCTCTTCAGTCCCTCTTTGAACTCCAGCTTTCTTATCTGTAAAATGAGGGACACACCCAAACAGTTCTCCAAGCCTTTTAGAATGATTCTGTTCTGTGCTACATGTGTGGGCTATTTCCCAAGAGTGCACAGAAACCCAGTGAAGAGCAGGAATTTCTTCAGCTTCCTTATTTCTCTGCCCCAGATATCAGTATTTTCCTGGCACAAAATATGGCTCTTCTTCTAGCCACGAGGTACCTGTGTTTGGAGAGGCCAAGTTGTTCTTTTGGTGTCCACCTGTAATTCTCCTTTGCCTTTTGAGTGAATAAGATCCTTGGTCCAGCCTTTTAAAGCTCATGATGACCTGTGATGGACCACCCTTTGCCTGCTTCCTCACCATCTCCCTGCACCTGAGGCCACAGCCATGGAAGCCACTGAAGGCCTTCAGAAACAGTGGTCTCCTTGAACACACATGGTACCCTTCTTCCTCTTAGGGCGTAGGTCCAAGGAGGCTTCTTGATGACCCACACCCTCCTCTATGTCCCCAGTTCCCCATGCTTCCCATCAGCAATACCTTAGCATCTCAACCTGGTAGTGTTGCCTGTCTTCCCTAGGCCTGGCCTGGCAGGCTTGTCCTATCATCATACACAACACCAGATGCCTTGTGAGCTCTGCACAACATGAGGTGGTGGCCACGGGATCTGACCCTTACCCTGCAAGCACAAGCTAATCTGAGGTCCAATTGGGAAGTGAAGAAATAAGTGATGCACAGTGGGGACCTGTATGAGTCTTTGGAGTGTGTAGAGTCGGAAAAGCAGGAGAAATATTCATCACGTACAGCATGAGTTAGGCAGTGGTGTGCTAGCAATCCAGTGAGTGAGATTTTTGTATAGTTTATATTTACAAATTAGGAAACAGGTTTTTGAACCTGCCCTCCAGGTCTTACAGCTGGTAACAGTGAGAACTTGACTGAGGGAGTCTGGCTTTCTCATTCATAAAGTGCCTGCATGCTGTTCTAGAAATAGAGACATTGCAGGCAGCAAAATGGCAGAACTCCCAGAAGGCTGTACTGGGGGCAAGGGCTTTGTGTGAAATGGCCCAGAATGCAGTAAAGTGCTCATAGAATGTAGTTGAACTGAAGCCAGTGACCTGCCTACCTTCTGGGTCAGGGGCAGGCACAAGGGGTAAAAGAGAGGGCAACACCTAGCCAAGGAAGTTGACTTTTCATCCTAGTGGTGAGCAACAGCTTCTAGAACAGGACAGATGCTTGAAGGCCAGGGTCAAGTGGGTGCTAGGACCCTAGAGACCCCGGCTGCCTAATGAGCTCTCTTTTCTCTCCCAGTTCTCTCAGCTCATTAAGATCTTCCATTCTTTGGGTCCTGAGAAGTTTCCACTCGTGGAGCAAACATTTTTCCCCAACCACAAGCCAATGGTAAGTGCTTTTTTAACTCTGCTTATCTTCATGATGTGGGATGACCTTACATGTCTGTCTCCTGAGTCTCTCGGGGAGGCTCACAGCTTGCTTCCTGGTTACCTGAACTCCACATAGGAGCCTTCATGTCCTGTGCTTGTGGGAATGTCTAGTATTCCTTGGGGAAGGTTCAACTTCTCCAGGGCAATTTCAGGCAACAGGACAAGTGACAAAGCTACTTGGCATTCTGGGACACACAGCAAGGGGCCTCTTGAGTTGGCTCCTGGAACCAGAGGTTGAGTATAAAAGGGCAAACATACTTTTATGGTAAAATGTTAACTTCAGTATGCTTTTCCTGGGACCTGGTTTCCACTGTAATTTTAATAAAAGCTGTGATATTTTACTTGAGCTGATTATTAAAGAGCAGTGTGCTCACACGTTCCATTTTCTTTCTTTGAAGTGTGCCTGTGTTATCTCTGTGAGTGTACTAGGCCTGAGCTGAGAGATGCGGCTCTCTTACTGTTTGGAAGGTTTAAGACTAATGTCCACAGTTAGAATTTTGGTAGCCGAGTTTTTGAGTTGCTGGAATCAGATTATAGCATGCCTGCTTATGTGATCGGTGCGTGGTCAGTGCACTTGGCCTTGCAGGGAACAGGGATCGCAGGGAACAAGTGCATTGTGTGCTCGTCCTGGCTCGAACTGTGGTCTGTAGATTCTCAGGCCCTGGCGGCTGAGCTGGACGGGTCTGTTTGAAGACACTGCCAGGATGAACTGCAGGCTTCACTGGGAGCGAGCCAGCCAGTCAGAGGCCCTCATTGGTTGTCTGTCTACTGTATCTAACCATTGGTCACAGAATCCAGGATGTCTGAGGC